TAATCAAATATAATTAATAGTTCCAAATATTTTTTCTTTCATTTGTCACAAACTAATATAGATTTGTAACTTATCTATAAAATGTCAACAACTTTTATCTACACAATGTAATGTATTGAAATATATACATTAATAAAAATAGATTATTATCTAATTAAAGGATTTCTCTTCATACTTTTTTTTTATAATATATATAGCATTCAGAAAATTAGTTTATACTAAATAACAAACAAACCTGCCAAAAAATTCTTCAAATAATTTAACAAAGAATGTCTTTTGAAAAATGAGTTATCTCCCTTCGTACAGAAATATGGTTAAACATAGTACCCTAACATTAGATATGGTCCAGAGTTATGGACCATAACTCTGGACTAAATCATCAGACCAGAACAAAATTCGAACTTGATCTACAACTTGTCATGATTAAACTATATACCAAATATCAAATCAATATCTTCAAGAGCGAAGAAAAACAGTTTGGAAAGCTGATTTTGCCGGACTGACGGATGGACAGACGGACGGACAGACAGACGGACGGAGTGCAAACCTAAAGTTCCTTCGACTTCGTCGGTAGCGGACTAAAAAGAATGGTACTTTGAGACACCCAACATATATGTTTATGACTCAGAATTTTTTACTGCAATGAAATGTAAGATTAATTTCCTACAACTGTCAAATTCAAGAAAATATTTTTTTCTGACCCTTTTTCGTATGCAACCGGATGTGACGTACTATGATTTGGTGGTATTACACTTCATGTTGCACTTCAAGTGTTAAATTCTTCAGTTTCAAAATACATTTGTAATCATGTATATCTTATTTCAACTCCATTGAACTAAAATAAAATAGTTTTAAATTGACAAAGAAGAAGTTTAAATATATTTATGGATCTTGACATAATTGCTATTTAAGGAAGTTATGCAGTTAGGAGTGTCTAATGTACTACATAACAACTTAATGCCCTTAAATGGACTGAATTAAGGAATTTCTGTCTCAAAATACCAAGCCAATTCCATCGCTAAAAATAAGACGGTTTACGCCATAACTTTTGACTAAAAACAGGTGTTTTGCTTGGAGACAGACAACCGATATAAATAGATAATAGACTTACGCAGGCGAATTTTCAAAATAAATATCTTGACCTTCTAAGAGCTGAAAATAAATAACATTTGTCTTAATAATTATGAGGTCATGAACGTTTTTTTCCCTATTTTTTGCTGGACACCAGGAACGCGTTCAAACAAGAAAACATGACATCATAATTATCTCTTACCTTGAAACTAATCTTATCGTAGGCCTAAACTCCAAAGAGATTTATGACAACGCACAGTATTTGTCATGCAAATAGAAGATGAAGAGCAGTTCATGTTTCTGTGTAAACATATGATTCAAAAACAGTTAGTCTCATGAAAAAGTACATTTTACAACTTTCATAGTATATATATCGTGACGATACAGATAATATATCTTACGTAGATTTCTTTTTGAAATGTGGACACAAAGTCAATTGAATGTTGAATTGGCAAATACATATAAATTAATATATTTTATGTCTCTGAAATAGGTAAAAATAAATCATATTTGTGCATACTCGTAACTATTTCCAAGAAAAAATTAACAACTTTCAAACGGAAAAGGGTGTTTTCCAGCGTTTTTTTTTTTTTGTAATTCTTTCATGTGTGGGTCACCAGGTAAAACACAATTAAAGGTTGAATGTCAGATTGAAGAAATTTTGGTTTTAAAAGTCTTAAAACATATCTACCGCTGATTTTGTTTCTTGCAATTTATACCAAAATCGCAAGAAAGTGTACAAAACGATACCCAATAAGGAATCAATTGTCTATCTCGTTCATGTTGACTTATTTGTAGATCTTATATTACTGAACATTATTATTATTTAAGATTCTCTAATAGTGATCAACTGTCCCTCTCGAGGGACCGACTGCAACATCCCTCACTGTCTGGTAGTGATAGATTGTCCCACTCGAGGACAGACTGCAACATCCCTCACTGTCTGGTAGTGACAGATTGTCCCACTCGAGGGACAGACTACAACATCCCCAACTGTTTGGTAGTGACAGATTGTCCCACTCGAGGGACAGACTGCAACATCCCCAACTGTTTGGTAGTGACAGATTGTCCCACTCGAGGGACAGACTGCAACATACCCCACAGTCAGGAAGTGAAAGATTGTCCCGCTCATGAGACAGATTACAACATCCTTCACTGTTTGGTAGTGACAGGTTGTCCCGCTCGTGAGACAGATTACAACATCCCTCACTGTCTGGTAGTGACAGATTGTCCCACTCGAGGGACAGACGGCAACATACCTCACTGTCTGCAAGTGACAGATTGTCCCGCTCGTGAGACAGATAACAACATCCCTCACTGTCTGGTAGTGACAGACTGTCCCACTCGAGGGACAGATTACAACATCCCTCACTGTCTGCTAGTGACAGACTGTCCCACTCGAGGGACAGATTACAACATCCCTCACTGTTTGGTAGTGACAGATTGTCCCACTCGTGAGACAGATTACAACATCCCTCACTGTCTTGTAGTGACAGACTGTCCCACTCGAGGGACATATTACAACATCCCTCACTGTGTGGTAGTGACAGATTGTCCCGCTCGTGAGACAGATTACAACATCCCTAACTGTTTGGTAGTAACAGATTGTCCCACTCGAGGGACATATTACAACATCCCTCACTGTCTGGTAGTGACAGATTGTCCCACTCGAGGTACAGATTACAACATCCCTCACTGTTTGGTAGTGACAGATTGTCCCACTCGAGAGACAGACTGCAACATACCTCACTGTCTGGAAGTGACAGATTGTCCCGCTCGTGAGACAGATTACAACAACCCTCACTGTCTGGTAGTGACATACTGTCCCACTCGAGGGACAGATTACAACATCCTTCACTGTCTGGTAGTGACAGACTGTCCCACTCGAGGGACAGATTACAACATCCCTCACTGTCTGGTTGTGACAGACTGTCCCACTCGAGGGACAGATTACAACATCCCTCACTGTCTTGTAGTGACAGGCTGTCGCACTCTGAGAACAAACTGTACCAGCGCAGTCTGTCAAATAGTGACAGACAGCCATGTCCGGAGGACAGGACATAAAGGTGTACAACGTATTACATTTGAACATAGAAATTGTTCATTATTACTTTATACATGTTATCTCGTCAAATAGCCAGTAAATATAGTTTAGTTTGTAGCAGAAATCTTTGGTAATACCGTATTTTTATGGACAGCTTGAATCCGAGTATTTACTTGAACGATCGTTCAGGATATAAACGCCCTACTGGTTACACGTTACAATACCATATTTTACATCGGGTGAAAATAATATTTCTGAGAGAGATGTCCAGCAATACACTGCAGTACCGTTTCAGTATAGATTTACTGACATATTTTGACATCTTTGTTAGTAACGTATACATGTTACACTCCAAGTGTGATATACTTCAAGTTCACAATACGCTTGTTATCGTGTACGTTTAATTTCAGCTCCAATGAACGCATAGAAAATAGTTTTAAATTGACAATGAAAGAGTTTTAATCTATTTATGAATCTTGTCATATTTACTATTTAATGAAGTTATTTAGTTACTGGTATCTACAATGTACTACACAACATGTTATTGAAAGCGTGTTTAATCCACCATTTTGGACATAAGGAAACGCATGTGACAAGTCAGGAACTTGAATATCCATTCGTTTGATATGTTTGAGCTTTTAATTTTGCCATTTGATTAAGGACTTTCCGTTTGGAATTTTCCTCGGAGTTCAGTATTTTTGTTGTTTTTACAATTTCTTATAAAGAAGAAAAGTAACAGTAAACCAACGAGACGTAGATATTAGATGCATACCAGCAATAATATTGAATAGACACTTTGCACCGGGTTCAAAGTAAATATACAGGTCGGATTGATGTAAGCAGACTTTATAGTGACATACATTCGCACTAGCACTATCTGGTGGTGACAGACTATCCTTATCTGAGGACAAACTGTTCTAGCTCGCACTGTCTAATAGTGAGCGACAGTTCCCCTCGAGGGACAGACTGCAACATTTCTCACTGTCTGGTAGTGACAGGCTGTCCCAATCGGAGGACAAACTGTACCAGCCAACTAACAGTGACAGACAGCCCTATCCGGAGGACAGGCTATAAAAGTGTATTACATTTGTACATATTTTTAATTTTAGTTTCTTGTGTACAATTTGGAGTTTAGTATGGCGTTCATTATCACTGAACTAGTATATATATTTGTTTAGGGGCCAGCTGAAGGACGCCTCCAGGTGCGGGAATTTCTCGCTGCATTGAAGACCTGTTGGTGACCTTCTGCTGTTGTCTGTTCTATGGTCGGGTTGTTGTCTCTTTGACACATTCCCCATTTCCATTCTCAATTTTATTTATATAAATTGTTCGTTATTGCTTTGTATCGACAAAGAGCCAGTTTATATATTTTAGTTCGTTGCACAGATTGTTGGCAACACCGTATTGTGTTTTGACAGCTTGAATCCGAGTAATTACTGGAATAATAATTGCCCTACTGATTACCCGTTGCATTACCATAGATTTACTAACATATTGATATTTCTGTTAGTAACGTATATGTGTTACACTTCAAGCGTTATATACTTCAGTTTCAAAATACACTTGTAATCGTGCATATTTTATTTCAGCTCCATTGAAAAAAAAAAGTTTTAAACTGACAAAGAAGGAGTTTAAATCTATTTATAAATGATAACATATTTATTATTTAATGAATTTATTTAGTTAGTGGTGTCTATAATGTATTACACAACAAATTATTGCTCCAAGTTGGTCTGGTTTAAGAAATTTTTGTCGAAAAATAAAGCCAATTCCATCACTAAAACAAGACGGTTTACACCATAACTGTTGACTGAATAATATATATAAAAACAAATAGTGTTAAGTTTGCAGAAAGACGCTCAATGGAAATTGAAAGTATACTTACTTTTCATGAAAATAAATTCTTCTCTGTTTCATTCGTGCTGAAAGTATTATTCTATTTGATACTTCTGTAAATCTTTTCTGACACCAGTGTACCATCTATACAAGTATGTTACGACTAACAGATGCACTTGAAGAACTTCAGCTTACCTGTAAGATCTGTCATGTGGTCTAATGTGAAGGGGTAGATAACTGCAAAATTTTATGTTTTGAATACCGTTTCCCCTAACAAAACAGCAGTTTTAAATGTAAGATTTGGAGGTTGGGTAACAGAGGCGACAAATATTGCGAGGAGAAACACTTTAGTTGACATACCTCTACTATTAGAATGTTAAATAATAGACAGATTCCTTTACAAAATGTTTATATTTCGACCTTCCCAGTTAACATGGCAAAGGGGATGACATTCAGATTTTCGGGTGGGTGGGTGGGGGGGTTAAATGTCAGGATGAATATGTCAATCTGCTCAGCAAAATACCGGACACTAATAGTGTGCACAAAATATATAAGTTGCGCTCTCTAATAACTGAGAATTAAATATGGCCATCCCAAAAGCTTTGCTGGGTAAAACAATAACAAAATTGAGAATCAACGCTCACTCTTTGTCCAGATCATTATGAGGTCATGTACGTTTTTTTTTCTCTTCAAGCAACTGAGAAATAAGAAATAGCCTAGTTCCATGACATCATAGTTATCTCTCAGCTTCAAACTAATCGTGTCGTAGGCCTGAACTCCAAAGTGATTTATGACAATGCACAGTATTTGTCATGCAAATAGAAGATGAAGAGCAGTTCATATTACTCTGTAAACACAATTCAAAATTGAATGTTGATATGCACTGTTCAACTAGGCAAATACATATACAGTACTATATATGTCTCTGAAATAGGTAAAGAAAACAAATAACAACATTCGAACGGAAAAGGGTATTTCCACCCTTATTTTGCATTTTTTAGTAGGCCACCAAGCAAAACACAAATACCGGCTGACTGCCAGCTAAATGAAATTTTAGTTAGAGGGCGTGAAACTTTCCCTACGCGAGACAACATAATTAACAACCCCATTCCGATCGGACGTGTCTGCGTATTTATATATCCCACACCACCAATTGGACGCTCAACTTTGGCAAGGGTTTAACTCCTAAAATAATAGAATTCCAGTTTCATATGTTGGAATTAATATATTAACATTGGATATAGAACATCAGTGTTAATTGCTGGTTTCCCAAAAATTAAAAAATATACCTTGTTTTAGTCTCAGAAAATAATCTTCTTGTGATTTCGTCTCTGCGGGTCATCAAGAGAATCGAGAGCTTCTGCATGGTGCAGATGAAGATGTTGATATATAAAAAAAATCTAAATAGATATAGAAGAATGAAAAGACTTTTTCATTCTGAGTAACGTATTCATATAACGTCTTTTTTTTAATTTAACGGTAAAAAAACAATTACCCTATAACGGAATCATACATGTTGATGTTTCTTTTATTTCGAAGTTATACATTATCTTTTTAGTGTATAAGTGTTTTTAAACTCCAGGTGCAGTCCAGTGAAACCCTCAGTCAAGGTCGTTTAAAACACCCCGTGGTACTCGAGTCCACTTGAGTTTTAACGTTTAAATAAAATCCTTAGTATAAAAGTTTTCATTTTGTTTTGTATAATTAAACTCTATCAGCATTTTACATTCAGTTTATTTTTCATCGGTATAATGTTCAGTCGGATTTAAAAACTGTATCGAGACATCAAATTTCTTTAGCGTAGGGTAAAGAGAAGGCATATGCTCCCAATGGTCCGGGCTGGTCTCGTGTGCTAAATTACATTTATATTTTGACTTTATATCATATAACCTTATTTTTAAATGTTTTGTTTAATAGATTGCTTCTTCTAGATTTTATAGCTTGCTTTCGTCAAAAATAATCCGGCCAATAATCTTGGACTAGTTATGAAGGATCGCTATTAAGTGAAAGAAGAAGAAATAGAAGAACACTATATTGATAGAATCAGAGTGTATACTAGTAGTAGAGTTACTTCTCTTTGACTGCTTGCTCACTCAGTTGGTAGCAAGTCACTCCGTACCTTAGCCATTTCGTACCTCTGCATTTCGTACCCAAATTTACCATTTCGTACCCACGATAAAAAACATTTCGTACCTATGGTCCAAATTTATCTACCATTGCGTACCTCGTGGACTATATGCATGTTTATCATTTCGTATCATATATTTGTAGAAGTTCTAAATATTTTAAAGATATAAAACATTTTAGATGATTTTTTTTTTATATAACATAAATAAATTGCATCCAGCCGTAGAAATTTTATAAAGACCAATGATTGCTTTGATTAGGCAGCAATTGCAAACTTTAATAGTTTTAATTACACTTTGTTCGTTTGCAGGATTGATCCTTAATAATTTTTCAACTCTTAAAATGTGAGGTTAATTAACCAACAAAGGAATAATTATCTGCAACTGTTTTTATAGTTATTTACAGTTGTTTTTGTCAGGAAATGCAGTGAAAAGGGGCACAAGCTGATATGCACACAAGAAGAAGGCCATGATAAAAAATGTTTGAATAAGAATTTGCACCTTATGTTACGTATGAATGAATGAATTTTATTTCTCATTAACTACAATTTACATAGTTACAGAGAATATATTAAGTATTAAAGCACATGTGAACAATACATATATCTATTTTTTTCATGTATATTATCATGATAAAATGACCAGTAAATTTTATGTTTTTTGTGCACAAAATTTTGCAAATAAAATGCTGAAAACCGTTTTCCGACGGGGGCTTCGACTCCTGAACCCCCTATATAGCAGGGCAGAGAGCCCTGGCCCCGGCGCCATAAAACTTTTATTTTCTGAGTAAAAAAATATTCTCAGAATGAATTATATTACTCAGCTAAGAAAAAGAACTTTTTTCTCTGCCATAAAAAAATATTCTCAACTTTGAGAATATTCTTAGCTGAGAATTTTTTTCTCAGTGATGTAAGCGGTAAAATAGATGTTTGAAAACTAAAAAGTGTACCTAACTTTATGGCGAGCCGTTTTACTATTTATTCGAATTTCAAGATATCTCATATAATATAAAAGATATCTTAAGATATCTCATTTAATATATAAGATATCTTATATCATTTCATTTTTATAAGATATCTTATATCATTTAATTTTTATAAGATATCTTATATATTATATGAGATATCTTATATATTATATAAGATATCTCATAAAGTTAATAAGATATCTCATATACTTTATAAGATATCTCCTAAGATTGATAAGATATCTTATAAATATATTTATATAAGATATTTTATATAGTTTATAAGATATTTTATATAGTTTATAAGATATCTCATATAGTTTATAAGATATCTTATATAATTTATAAGATATCTGATAAAAAAAATTATATGAGATATCTTATAAACTATATAAGATATCTCATAAACTATATAAGATATCTTATAAACTATATAAGATATCTCAGAAAGTTTATGAGATATCTTGAAGTTAGAATAAATAGCAAAACGGCTTGCCATATAACTTCGCAAAAACGCAGGTTTTATCTTTTTAGCAACACTGTAAAACATAAAAAGAATCTATGATAGATAAACTGACAAGTAGCATTTTGTAAGCATCGGTAAATGGACAGAAAGTCACAGTCCTGACAAAAAGTCAAAGGATATAAAGTCACAAATAATTTGTGGACAATTGTTTGAAATTATAAGAGAAAGATCTTGAAATATTTGAGTTATTAACCTGTAGTTTGTTATAAATATATATATATTACTTTTTATATTTCTCATACAACTTCTGTCTTAAGATACACGTATTAATGATTATGTTTTATAAATGGCGAAATCTTCGAAATGTAATCTCCTTGGAATGTAACCTTCGTTGACGTTTACTTGAAGAGTGCTTTCTTTCACGTCCGCACTTCTATCGAGTATGGTATGCCAAATAAACATATTACGGATCAATGACATACATTATGTATTCAGACGACATAAGAAGACACCATGTGACAATTTTAAGCCAATTGTTTATTAAAGTGAAACAGAGCTGCTTTTTTCTCAGATCTACAAATAAACAAAAAAACAAAACATAACAAAAAAAACCCAACAAACCGGATATTTTTATATCAATATGAATGCCAGTAAATAATTTTAATCTGTTTTTAATATTCAAGATATGTGACTTTTAGAATTAATATAAATTTGATACAGAATTGAATACGATTTAACAATTATGCAAGTAGTAATAAAAATTGCTCCTCATAATGAGTTTAATATATTGCACAGGAAGAGAAAATGAAAGTACGACGTCGTGTGAGAAGGCATGGCATTACCGGTATTGTCCATTACATTTATTAACAACACCTTGCAAAAATATTTTTTTCGAAAAAAAAACCAGTTAAATAAAACAAACAAAACTATCCGTCACAATGATATATGAGGGTCTTTGATATAAAAAAAATTACAACTGTTAATAGGGTTTTTGTTCAAAATTTGTTAAAATTTGCACTGAAGAACGTCACTAATCTGCACAAATGAAAATGTATCCGAAAAAAAACATGCACATATTTACTCAGTCTAACATTTTACAACAAATAGATCTGCAATAGTAGAAAACAAATTGAAAACAACAAATCAAAAATATGACCAAAAGAACTTTAAAATAATAGCCAATTAAATGAGTCGAAGGTCAACTTTGCCCGATGGAGTTAAAATCTCAGTTTCTTTATATTTTCAAAATTTATAAATGAACAATTAACGGGAATTAGATAGAATTGCAGAATCAAAAAGTCTCTTTCGCAAGCATGCGTACTACGTCTTCGGTTTCAGATTTGTAAGATCCATAATTCATTGCAATTTAAAACTTCAATTGTTTGGTAAGGGCTATTTGACTGATACTCGAGGACGGATAACATTGTCTTTGAATTTTTGGGGGTATAGCATTTTTTGTTCACTACCAATAAACGTTAAATATATTTGAATATTCTCCAAAATAGTTGATAAATAGGCAATATTTTATATTTTGTTGGACAGTTGGTCTATCAAGGATAAAATCTAGTTCAGGAGGTCGATTTTTTTTCTATTAGTTTTCAGATCTCTCTTAAAAAACTACTTTTTACAAATTACTACAGCTAC